AAGTGTACAATTGTGGATCTCCACAAATTCCTGTCTTTTGTAACTCAGAGTAAGTTTTGTCTTATTACTATTCTTCTTAGTCCCTGTTCTGTCAACCATTTATAAAATCTTGTTAGGTAGATTATTGGCTTCTCATTTAGAATCCACCTTAGTTGTTGCAGAAACCTTACAAAAAATGAAGCCATTGCAGGATGTGTTAATAAACTACAAATGCACATATAAATACAAGTAAATTTAATAATAATAATAATCCAACAACAGATAATTAAGTAATCAATAACAGACAATGAGTAAGAAATTTTAAAAAAGCCACACTATAAAATGGCTACAAATAACCATATTTTTGATCTACAATTATTCTTACTCAATAGGTTCTAGAATATTCAGAAGCTGTTATTGCCTACCCAATTGCCATTAGGATAAGACAATTGATCTTACTACTCATAATGCACCATTGACCAGCATATGTATATAGTCAAACCAAAATGCAATGCACATGGCCTTGGGTATTCATTGGAATACGGTGATGGGGGGAGCCTGACTGGTGACCCAGGGTAGTGCTTTGTGACCCACAATATATTATCATCATTTACTATTCTTCTATCTACATTTATATATATGTTACAAATTAAACTAAGCACACCTGACTATTAAAGGATGAGAAATCTTTGCAGATTTTGATGTCATTCTGAGGTCTTTTTTTTGTCCAAATCCGTAAATTTGTTTTGCTCGTGCTAATTCTTGAAAATACACTCCATAAAAATCACTATTTTTATCCATAACGTTGAACATGTCAAAATTATTCAACTTTTTAACAAGAAAAATCTCCAGATGGCTATTTGAAATTCCTGCAAAACATTGTTGATTTATTTAAGATAGAATTATCTGTTATGGCAAGTCTTTCATTTGTATTTACATACATTGTATTTAGTTTCAGTTGTTGAATTTATCACCTATATTGCATATAGGTTAGAATAAAATTTGTATTTTATATGAATACTAGCTTATGGGGAGTAATGGAGAGGCAAAGTGGAGTAGTGGATAACAGCTCGGATTGAGGAATCAGAGAGCCAAGTTCGAATTCCAGTCATATCCATTCACTTACATGCTAATACCCTTGGGAAAGATATGAATCCTCTTCTTCTCCCACCAGCTATGGGTAAACAGATTGGGTTCTATAGTTTTGGATGACAACTGGACTACCATAAAAAGAAATAGAAACCTACTGTGGGAAAAAAAAATCTGCCTCGTCAGTCATGTATCGAAAGATACATGATCACCTAAGCATGTATCACTCATGGCACATAACTGACTAACTTATGAAAATTGAGATGTCTTAGAGTGAGGTGGGGGCTGCATATCATAGATTTTGGAGGTATCTTTGATTTGAAGGGTGGGAGTGAGGGCAAGCCAGCTTGTACTGGCCCAGTTGAGAGGGGCTATTTTATGTTCTATTTTATTATCTACCTAAATGGTTCAAAATTGTTGATTATTGAAACTTTTATTTTGGCATCAGAATTATGTTTGGTAAGTGTTATGGTAATTTACCCACGCATGCATGGACTCTCCCAGCTATAAATAGGAGCAGGTACTGCCTTTTAGAGAGGAAAGTTTCCAGCAGTCAGCTCTGACAATCGGACCGAACATTCTTGCTGTAACACTCTCATTTGTATATGTTTGTATTACTGTTTCTGTTAATATATTTGTTTAATTCAATTTTTCTCTTGTGTCTTTATTTCTGGCCCTAACAAGGCCACAACAATAAGACTCACCATCTGCTGATGAGAAATGGTTCAATATTATTATACAAAATTCTTCCTATTTTTTCTATTACTTTTTTTTTAAATCAGATTTTATTTAAAATTACTTAAAGAATTACATTGCTCCAATTTTATTAGCATTTTGTTATAGATGCGCTCCTTGTAAAGAGCAGGAATGTGGTTTTAATTCAATACTAACTGTATAAAAAAAATGATGTTACAAATATCTTTAACCTTAGAGTTGGTGCATTAAAATTAACAAGAAATTTAATATACCACATTGTGGTTGGCACGGAGGATGCATGGTGGAGTAATGGATAGTGACTCGGATTGAGGAATTGGAGAGCCAAGTTCAAATTCCAGTCAAATCCATTACATTCACTTACATGCTAATACTCTTGGGAAAGATATGAATCCTCTTCTCTCCCCACCTATGGGTAAATAGTAGGACAGACTGGGTTCTATAACCTTAGATGTCAACTGGTCTACTGCAGAAAGAAATGGTAACCTACTTTGGGAAAAACATCTGCCTTGTCATGTATCACACATGGCACATAACTGACTGACCTCGTGGCTGAGATAGTTATGTATTTATCATTTGCTGTCAAATGGTTTTAACCAAAAACTTCAGATATTGATTTTTCAAAACATACAGAACTTTCTCGGTTGTCATTTAAGCACACATTGTCCTTGCTACAAATAATTTATTTTATTTAATATTGTACTCAAATAAGTTAAAGCCTTCTCCTACATCTATGGGATGTGTCCCTTCAGGACATGGGCGATCATGGCTCTCCACAACTTCCTGTCCTTTTTATCATTTAGTACAGCTTGTTAGGCATGGGTTTTCCTCTGTCTCTTTTGCCTTCAACAAGGCTTATGGCCATATCACGTTGAAACACCAGTTCCGTTACAGTCACCAAAGTTAAGCAATGTCAAGCCTCGTGAGTACCTAGATAGGTGACCACTGTTGTAAGCTTGGATGTGTGGTTGAGGTGATGGATAATGGCTCGGAATTGTTAATCAGAGAGCTGAGTTCTAATTCCAGTTGGGTTTGTTATATTTACTTATGCGCAATTACTCTTGGGAAAGAAATGTATAAACATCTTCCCCTCCCAGCTATGGGTTAATTAGTAAGACTTGTATCACTAAGTTATTATTATTTCATAAAAATTCTTATAATCTAAAAATATTTTCCAGGTTTAAATAACCTGCAAATGGTTGATGGGCTATACAAAACAAATCAATCGACTTCAATATGTCCTGTGAGTGTCAAATTTTCTAAGCCCCCTTTCCTCATTAGGTGTGCAAGAAATTTCAACTGTCTCTTTCTGATACTGTGTTCATTTTGTTTCCATAAACCCAGATTTGAAATGCAGATTTCATTGGCAAGTAAGATCTTCTCAGATTGGTACAATACACTATTTAACTCCCTATTTCCCTACATTTTGTTTGTGCCCCTACTAAGTTGAGTTTAGTCAATATCAGATCCTCCCCAATTAGAAGATTGGTGCAACACAATCTTCTCCCAATATATATATTTTTTTTTTTGGAATGACCTTAGTGAATAAAATGTAAAAGCTGTGTATTATCTTGAACTTTTCCAACTTTTGCACAGAACAATCTTTGTATACATTTTTTTTATAAGGAAAAAACAAATATTGCCTATAGTCAGTTTGTGGATTATACCATATCACTGAAATGCTGTTTTAAAAAACTTTTGACAGCATTGTTTTTTAATGTGGTAAAAATTATGCATGAAACTGCTCATTTAGATGAGGAAGAATATTGCAATGAAATGAATCTAAAGGAACAGAAACACGTGACTGTTTTTGAACCCACCATCCACTATCTATCCACAGGATGAGGGAAAGACTACCAATAATTGAAATTCACTCTTTCATTAAGGGAGATTCAAGATTCGTTTTAGCATTTCAATTGTATATGGATGTGTATTTCATGTTTATTTTTAATGATCTCAAATATATTAATAAAATGCATACAAATTTTTTTTTTTGGTTTGGTATATTTTGTGTTTTTAATCATCCTGGTCGAATGACCACCACTCTGAATGATAATTGAGAATATCCTGTTATTACTATGAAGCATTGATTCAGGACATTTTTGTCAACCCACTGATAAGGTAAGTCTCTATTTTCAAAAAAGAACTTAACCTGCTGTTCAATTCATCCAGATTTGATATTGTGAACATGTTCACCAAAGTTTTAACTGATGAAGTCTCATTTGCAGTTTGAGGATTTATTGAACATACCACCATCACGATAGAATATTAAAACTTACATTAAGTTGTCTCTGTACAAACTACATGCTTCCAATTGGACTCTAAATATATCTATGGGATCACCTCTGTTTCCAGTAATGGCAAACATATGGAGAACACAAGTGCAGACAATCATCTGAAATATGCAAATGTTGTTTTTATACTCTTAATTTATTAATTTCTGTAATTAAACAGTAAAACTACTACCAAAAATGACCCAATTAAAAATGTTATAGGGTGATAGACTTAGACTTAATTTCTTGACTTTTATTTTGTTTTTTATTTCCCAGAATTTTTATTGACAGTTGCTGAATGTTGAGAAGAAGAAACATATTAAAAAAGAAAGAAAAAATGCTTAGAGAAGAAGAAAAAGAAGAAGAAGAAATGTATTAAGAAAGAAAGAAAATGATGCTTAGAGAAGAAGAAAAGTAATAAAAAGATGCTTAGAGAAAAACAAAGAATAAGAATAAGAAACGTATTAAGAAAGAAAAAGATACTTAAATAAGAAGAAGAAAGAAAAATATTAGGAAAGAAAGAAAAGATTAAAGAAGAAAAAAAAAGAAGGAAAATTAAGAAAGAAAGAAAAAAAAGATGCTTAGAGAAGAAGAAAGAAAAAAAGGAAAGTAGGAGAAGAAAAAGAAAGAAAAAGATGCCTAAGAAGAAGAAAGAAGAAGGAAAGTATTAAGAAAGAAAAAAAAGATGCTTAGGAGAAGAAGAAAAAGAAGGAAAGTATTAAGAAAAAGAAAAAAAGAAAAAGAAAAGAAAGAAAAAAGAATGAAAAGTATTAAGAAAAGAAAGGGAGAAAAAGAAAGAAGGAAAGTATTAAGAAAGAAGAAGAAAGAAAAGAAAAAGAGAAAAAAGAAAGAAAGGAGAAGAAGAAGAAAAAGAAGGAAAGTATTAAGAAAGAAAGAAAAAGATGAAAGGAGCCTGGGAGAAAGAAAGAAAAAAGGAAAGTATTATTAAAGAAAGAAAGAAAAAAGATGCTTAGAGAAGAAAAAGAAGAAGGAAAGAAAAAGAAAGAAAGAAAAAAAGATTAAAGAAAGAAGAAGAAAGAAGAAAGTATTAAGAAAGAAAGAAAAAGAAAGAAAAGAAGAAGAAAAAGAGAAAAGAAAGAAAAAAAAAAAAAAGATGCTTAGAGAAAAGAAAAGAAGGAAGGAAAAAAAGAAAGAAAAAAAGAGGAAGAAGGAAAAAAGTATTAAGAAAAGAAAGAAAAAAGATTCTTCAAGAGAAAAAAAGAAGAAAAAAAAAGAAAGAAGACTTAAAGAAAGAAAGAAAGAAAGAAAAAAAAGATGCTTAGAGAAAAAGAAAGAAGAAGGAAAGAAGAAAGAAAGAAAAAAAGAGGGAGAAGTAAAAAGAAAAAGTAAAAAGAAAGAAAGAAAAAGATGCTTTAGAGAAGAAGAAAAAAAGAAGGAAAGTATTAAGAAAGAAAGAAAAAAGAAAAAAGAAGAAAAAGAAGGAAAGTATTAAGAAAGAAAGAAAAAAGATGCTTAGAGAAGAAGAAAGAAGAAGGAAAGTATTAAGAAAGAAAGAAAAAAGATGCCTACAGGAGAAGAAAAAAGAAGGAAAGTATTAAGAAAGAAAGAAAAAAGATGCTTAGAGAAGAAGAAAGAAGAAAGAAAAAGAAGAAAAAATTATTAGAGAGAAGAAAAAAGGAAAAAAGAAAAAAAAGATGCTTAGAGAAAAGAAAGAAGGAAAAGAAAAAGAAGAAAGAAGAAGGAAAAAAGGAAGTATTAAGAAACTTAAAGAAAAAAAAAAGAAAAAGAAAAAAAAGATGCTTCAAGAGAAAAAAAAAGAAGGAAAGTATTAAGAAAGAAAGAAAAAAGATGAAAGAGAAGAAGAAAAAAGGAAAGTATTAAGAAAGAAAAAAAAAGATGAAAGAGAAGAAGAAAAAAGAAGGAAAGTATTAAGAAAGAAAGAAAAAGATGCTTAGGAGAAGAAGAAAAAAGAAGGAAAGTATTACTTAAAGAAAGAAAAAAAGAAAAGAGAAGAAGAAAAAGAAGGAAAGTATTAAGAAAGAAAGAAAAAAGATGCTTAGAAGAAGAAGAAAGAAAGATTAAGAAAGGAAAGATGCTTAAGAAAAGAAAAAGAAAAAAGATTAAGAAAGAAAGAAAAAGATGCTTAGAGAAGAAGAAAAAGAAGGAAAAAAGAAAGAATGAAAAAAAAAAGCTTAGACTTAAAAAAAAAAGAAGGAAAGAAAAAGAAAGAAAAGAAAAAAAGATGCTTAGAGAAGAAGAAAAAAAGAAGGAAAGTATTAAGAAAGAAAGAAAGAAAAAAGATGCTTAGAGAAGAAGAAAAAAAAGGAAAGTATTAAGAAAGAAAGAAAAAGATACTTAAAGAAAAGAAAAAGAAGGAAAGTATTAAGAAAGAAAGAAAAAGATGCTTAAAGAACAAGCAAAAAAGAAGGAAAAAGAAAGAAAAAAAGAAAAAAAAGAGAAGAAAAAAAGAAAGAAAAAATTAAGAAAGAAAGAAAAAAGATGCTTAGAGAAGAAAAAAGAAGGAAAGTAAAGAAAGAAAGAAAAAGATGCTTAAAGAGAAGAAGAAAAAAGAAGGAAAATTAAGAAAGAAAGAAAAAGATGCTTAGAGAAGATCCTTAAGAAAAAGAAAGAAAGAAAGAAAAAGATGCTTAGAGAAAAGAAAGAACTGAAAGTAAACAAAAGAAAAAGAAAGAAAGAGAAGAAGAAAAAAAGGAAAAATGGTTTTAAGAAAGAAAAAGATTAAAGAAGAAAAGAAAGAAAGAAAGAAGAAAAAGAAAAAAAGATGCTTAGAGAAGAAGAAAAGAAAAAAAGAAAGAAAGAAAAAAGATGCTTAAAGAAAGAAAAAAGAAAAAAGAAAAGAAGAAGAAGAAGAATGGTTTAAAGAAAAAGATGCTTAGAAAGAAGAAAAAAAAAAAGAAGGAAAGAAAGAAAAAAAATGTTTAAAGAAGAAGAAAAAAGAAGGAAAGTATTAAGAAAGAAAGAAAAAGATGCTTAGGAGAAGAAGAAAAGAAGGAAAGAAAGAAAAGAAAAAAAAAGAAAAAGAAAAGAAGAAAAAAAGAAGGAAAGTATTAAGAAAGAAAGAAAAAGATGCTTAGAGAAGAAGAAAAAGAAGGAAAAGAAAAGAAAGAAAAAGAAGAAAAGAAAGAAGGAAAGAAGAAAAAGAAAAGATGCTTAGAGAAGAAAAAAAGAAGGAAGAAAGAAAGAAAAGAAAAAAGATGTTAGAGAAGAAGAAAAAGAAGGAAAAGAAAGAAAGAAAGAAAAAAGATGCTTAGAGAAGAAGAAAAAAGAAGGAAAGAATTAAGAAAGAAAGAAAGAAAAGATGCTTAGAGAAGAAGAAAAAAAGAAGGAAAGTATTAAGAAAGAAAGAAAAAAAGATGCTTAGAGAAGAAGAAAAAGAAGGAAAGTATTAAGAAAGAAAGAAAAAAGATGTTTAGAGAAGAAGAAAAAAGAAGGAAAGTATTAAGAAAGAAAGAAAAAAGATGTCAGAGAAGAAGAAAAGAAAGAAAAAAGAAAAAAGAAGATTAAAAAGAAAAAAGATAAGCTTAGAGAAGAAGAAAGAAAAAAAAGAAAAAAGAAAGAAAGAAAAAAAGATGCTTAGAGAAGAAGAAAAAGAAGGAAAGTATTAAGAAAGAAAAAAAAGATGAAAAAGAAGAAAAAAGAAAGAAGAAAAGAAAGAAAGAAAAGATGCTTAGAGAAGAAGAAAAAAGAAAAAGTATTAAGAAAGAAAGAAAAAAAGATGCTTAGAGAAGAAGAAAAAAGAAGGAAAGTATTAAAAAAGAAAGAAAAAATGAAAAGAAAAGAAGAAAAAGAAAGAAAGAAAGAAAAAGAAAAAGAAGAAAGTATTAAGAAAAGAAAGAAAGAAAAAAAGATGCTTAGAGAAGAAAAAAAAAAAAGAAAGAAAAAAGAAAGATGCTTAGAGAAGAAAAAAAAAGAAGGAAAGTATTAAGAAAGAAAGAAAAAGAAATAAAGAGAAGAAGAAAAAGAAGGAAAGTATTAAGAAAGAAAGAAAAGAAAAAAGATGCTTAGAAAGAAAGAAAAAGAAGAAAGAAGATGAAAGAAAAGGTATTAAGAAAAAAAGAAAAAAAATGAGGAAGAAGAAAAAAGAGGAAAGTATTAAGAAAGAAAGAAAGAAGAAAGAGAGAAGAAGAAAAAAGGGAAAGTATTAAGAAAAGAAAAAAAAGAAAAAAAGAAGAAAGAAAAAAAGAAAGAAGAAGAAAAAAAAAGAAGAAAAAGGAAACTATTAAGAAAGAAAGAAAAAAGATGCTTAGAGAAGAAGAAAAAAGAAGGAAAAAAGAAAGAAAGAAAAAGAAAAAGATGAAAAGAAAGAGAAAGAAAGAAATGAAGGAAAGTAAAAGAAAGAAAGAAAAAGAAAAGAGAAGAAGAAAAAGAAGGAAAGTATTAAGAAAGAAAGAAAAAAGATGCTTAGAGAAGAAGAAAAAAGAAGGAAAGTATTAAGAAAGAAAGAAAGAAAAAAAGATGCTTACTTAAAGAAAAAAAGAAGAAATATAAAAGAATTAAGAAAGAAAAAGAAGAGAAAAAAAAGAAGGAATAAAACAATGCAAAGAAAGAAGAAGAAAAAGAAAAGAAGAAAGTATTAAGAAAGAAAGAAAAAAGAACAATAGAGAAGAAGAAAAAAGAAGGAAAGTTTATTAAGAAAGAAAGAAAAAGATGCTTAAAGAAGAAAAAAAAAGAAGGAGAAAAGAAAGAAAGAAAAAAGAAAAAGATGCTTAGAGAAGAAGAAAGAGAAGGAAAAATTAAGAAAAAAGAAAAAAGAAAGAAAGAGAAGAAGAAAAAGAAGAAAGTAAAAGAAAAAAAGAAAGAAAAGATGCTTAGAAGAAGAAAAGAAGAAACCATGAAGAAAGGAAGAAAGAATTAGAAGAAGAAAAAGAAAGAAAGAAAAGAAAAAGATGCTTAGAGAAGAAGAAAAAAGAAGGAAAGTATTAAGAAAGAAAGAAAAAGATGCTTAGAGAAGAAGAAAAAGAAGGAAAAGAAAGAAAGAAAGAAAAAGAAAGAAAAAGAAAAAAAAAGAAAATTAAGAAAGAAAGAAAAAAGATGCTTAGAGAAGAAGAAAAAGAAAGAAAGAAAGAAAGAAAAAGAAAGAAAAAGAGAAAAAAGAAGCTAAAAGAAAAGAAAGAAAAAAGAGAAGAGAAGAAGAAAGAAGGAAGAGAAAGAAAGAAGAAAAAAAGAAAAAAAAGAAGGAAAGAAAGAAAAAGAAAGAAAAGAGAGCTTAGAGAAGAAAAAAAAAGAAAAGGAAAGTATTAAGAAAGAAAGAAAAAAGAAGAAAGAGAAGAAGAAAAAAGAAGGAAAGAAATTAAGAAAGAAAGAAAAAGAAGAGAAGAAGAAAAAAAGAAAGTATTAAGAAAAGAAAGAAAAAAGATGCTTAGAGAAGAAAAAAAAGAAGGAAAAGAAAGAAAGAAAGAAAGATGCTGAAAAGAAAGAAGAAAAAAAGAAAAAAAAAAAGAAAGAAAGAAAAAGATGCTTAGAGAAGAAGAAAAAAGAAGGAAACAATTAAGAAAGAAAGAAAAAGAAAAGAAAAAAGAAAAAAAAAGAAGAAAAGAAAGAAAGAAAAAAAAAGATAAGAGAAAGAAAAAAAAAAAATTAAGAAAGAAAGAAAAAAGATGCTTAGAGAAGAAGAAGAAAAAGAAGAAAGAAAGAAAAAAGAAAAAGAGAAGAAAGAAAAGAAAGAATTAAAAAAAAGAGAAAAGAGAGAAGAAAAAAAAGAAGGAAAGTATTAAAAAGAAAGAAAGAAAAAAAGAGAAAAGAAAGAAAGAAAGAAAAGAAAGAAAAAAAAGAAGAGAAAAGAAAAAGAAGGAAAGAAAGAAAAGAAAAAGATGCTTAGAAGAAGAAGAAAAAAGAAGGAAAGTATTAAGAAAGAAAAAAAAGATGAAAAGAGAAGAAAGAAAAAAGAAGGAAAGAAAGAAAAGAAAGAAAGAAAAAGATTAGAGAGAAGAAGAAAAAATGAAAAAGAATTAAGAAAGAAAGAAAAAGAAAAAAGAAGAAAAAAAAGAAGGAAAGAATTAAAAAGAAAGAAAAAAGATGCTTAGAGAAGAAGAAAAAGAAGGAAAGTAAGAAGAGAAAAAAAAAGAAAAGAGAAAAAGAAGCTTAAAGAAGAAGAAAGAAAGAAAGAAAAAAGAAAAAAGATATTAAGAAAGAAAGAAAAAAAAAAATGAAAGAGAAGAAGAAAAAGAAGGAAAAAAAATTAAAAAAGAAAGAAAAAAAGATGCTTAGAGAAGAAGAAAAGAAAAAAAAAGTATTAAGAAAGAAAGAAAAAAAAGATGCTTAGAGAAGAAGAAGAAAAAGAAAAAAAGAAAAAAAAGAAAGAAAGAAAAAAGATGCTTAGAAAGAAGAAGAAAAAGAAGGAAAGTATGAAGAAAGAAAGAAAAAAAAAGATGCTTAGAGAAGAAGAAAAAAAGAAGGAAAGAAAAAGGAATTAAGAAAAAGAAAAGAAAAAAAAGAAATAAGAAAAAAGATGCTTAGAGAAGAAAAAAGAAAAAAAAGAAGGGAAAAGTATTAAGAAAAGAAAGAAAAGGAATGCATATTAAGAAAGAAAGAAAAAAGATGAAGAAAAAGAAAAAGAAGGAAAGTATTAAGAAAGAAAAAAAAAGATGCTTAGAGAGAGAAGAAGAAAAAAAGAAGGAAAAAAGAGAAGAAGAAAGAAAGAAAAAAAAAGAAAAAAAAGATGCTTAAAGAAAAAAAGAAAAAGAAAGAAAAAGAAGAAGAAAAAGAAGGAAAGAAAGAAAGAAAAAATGAATAGGGAAAAGAAAGAAGAAAAAGAAAAAAAGTATTAAGAAGAAGAAAAAGAAAAAAAAAAAAAAGATGCTTAGAGAAGAAGAAAGAAGAAGGAAAGTATTAAGAAAAAGAAAGAAAAAGATGCTTAGAGAAGAAGAAAAAGAAGGAAAGCATTAAGAAAAAAGAAAAAAGATGCTTAGAGAAGAAGAAAAAAGAAGAAAGAAAGTAGAAAGAAAAGAAAAAAAAAGATGCATTACTTAAAGAAAGAGAAGAAGAAAGTATTAAGAAAGAAAAAAAAAAAAGCTTAGAGAAGAAGAAAAAAGAAAAAAAGAAAGAAAGAAAAAAAAGATGCTTAGAGAAAGAAGAAAAAAAGAAGGAAAGTATTAAGAAAGAAAAAGAAAGAAAAAAGAAGAAAGTATTAAGAAAGAAAAAAAGATGAAGAAGAAAAAAGAAGGAAAGTATTAAGAAAGAAAAAAAAAAAGATGCTTAGAGAAGAAGAAAAAGAAGGAAAGCATTAAGAAAGAAAGAAAAAGATGCTTAGAGAAGAAGAAAAAAGAAGGAAAGTATTAAGAAAGAAAGAAAAAAAGATGCTTAGAAAGAAAAAAAAAAAAAGAAAGAAAAAGAAGGAAAGAAAAAGCTTTAGAGAAGAAGAAAAAGAAGGAAAGAAAGAAAGAAAGAAAAAGATGCTTAAGAAAAGAGAAGAAGAAAAAGAAGGAAAGAAGAAAGAAAAAGAAAAAAGATGCTTAGAGAAGAAGAAAGTATTAAGAAAGAAAAAGAGAAAAGAAGAAAGCTTAGAGAAGAAGAAGAAAAAGAAGGAAAGTATTAAGAAAGAAAAAAAGAAAGAAAAGAAAAAGATGTATTAAGAAAAGAAAAGAAAAAGATGAAGAAGAAAAAGAAGGAAAGTATTAAGAAAGAAAAAAAGAAAAAAAGATGCTTAAAAAAAGAAGGAAAAAAGAAGGAAAAAAGAAAGTATTAAGAAAGAAAGAAAAAGATGCTTAGAGAAGAATAAAAAAGAAGGAAAGAAAAAGAAAGAAAGAAAAAGCTTAGAAAGAAAGAAAAAAAGAAGAAAGTATTCTTCAAGAGAAAAAGAAGAAGAAAAAAAGAAGGAAAGTATTAAGAAAGAAAGAAAAAGATGCTTAGAGAAGAAGAAAAAGAAGAAAAGAAAGAAAAAAGAAGAAGAAGAAAAAAAAGAACAAAAAAAGTAGAGAAGAAGAAAAAAAGAAAAAAGAAGAAAAGATGCTTAGAGAAAAAGAGAAGAAGAAAAAAAAAGAAAATGCTTACTTAAAGAAAGAAAAAAAGAAGAGAAGAAGAAAAAGAAGGAAAATTAAGAAAGAAAGAAAAAAGATGCTTAGAGAAGAAGAAAAAGAAGGAAAGTATTAAGAAAGAAAGAAAAAAAAAGATGCTTAGAGAAGAGAAAAAGAAGAAAGAAAAAAAGAAGAAAAGAAAGAAAAAGATATTAAGAAAGTATTAAGAAAGAAAAGAAAGTATTGAAAGAAAAAAAGATGCTTAGAGAAGAAGAAAAAAGAAGGAAAGTATTAAGAAAAGAAAAAGAAAAAGATAAGAAAGAAAAAGAGAGAGAAGAAGAAAAAAGAAGGAAAGTATTAAGAAAGAAAGAAAAAGATGCTTAGAGAAGAAGAAAAAAGAAAGAAGAAAAAAAAAAAAAGATGCTTAGAGAAGAAGAAAAAAGAAGGAAAAAAAATTAAGAGAAGAAGAAAGAAAAGAAAGAAAGAAAAAAAGATGCTTAGAGAGAAGAAAGAAAAAAAAAAAAAAGAAAGAAAAAAAAAAGATGCTTAGAGAAGAAAAAAAGAAGGAAAGTATTAAGAAAGAAAAAAAAAAAAAAAAGATGCTTAGAGAAGAAGAAAAAAGAAGGAAAAAAGTATTAAGAAAGAAAGAAAAAAAAGATGCTTAGAGAAGAAGGAGAAGAAGAAAAAAGAAGGAAAAAAAGATTAGAGAAGAAGAAAAAAAGAAGGAAAATTAAGAAAGAAAGAAAAAGATGCTTAGAGAAGAAGAAAAAAGAAGAAAAGTATTAAGAAAGAAAGAAAAAAAAAGATGCTTAGAGAAGAAAAAAAAGAAGTATTAAAAGATTAAGAAAGAAAAAAAGATGCTTAGAGAAGAAAAAAAAGAAGGAAAGTATTAAGAAAGAAAAAAAAAGATGCTTAGAGAAGAAGAAAAAGAAGGAAAAAGTATTAAGAAAGAAAGAAAAAAGATGCTTAGAAGAAAGAAGGAAAAGAAGAAGAAGAAGAAAAAAGAAAGTATTAAAGAAAGGAGAAGAAGAAATGTGAAAGTATTAAGAAAGAAAGAAAAAAGATGCTTAGAGAAGAAGAAAAAAGAAGGAAAGTATTAAGAAAGAAAGAAAAAGATGCTTAGAGAAGAAGAAAGAAAAAGTATTAAGAAAGAAAGAAAGTAGGAGAAGAAGAAAAAGAAGAAAGAAAGAAAAAAAAAGATGCTTTTAGAGAAGAAGAAAAAGAAGGAAAAGTATTAAGAAAGAAAGAAAAAAAAGATTTAGAGAAGAAGAAAAAGAAGGAAAGTATTAAGAAAGAAAGAAAAAAAGATGCTTAGAGAAGAAGAAAAAAGAAGGAAAGTATTAAGAAAGAAAGAAAAAAAAGATGCTTAGAGAAGAAGAAAAAAAGAAGGAAAGTATTAAGAAAGAAAGAAAAAAAAAAAGAAAAAATGAAGAAAGAAGAAAGAAAGAAAAGAAAGAAGAAAAAGAAGGAAAGAAAGAAAGAAAAAAGAAGTTTTAGAGAAGAAGAAAAAAGAAGAAGGAAAAGAAATATTAAGAAAGAAAAAAAGATGCTTAGAGAAGAAGAAAAAAAGGAAAGTATTAAGAAAGAAAGAAAAAAAAGATGCTTAGAGAAGAAGAAAAAAGAAGGAAAGTATTAAGAAAGAAAGAAAAAAGATGCTTAGAGAAGAAGAAAAGAAGGAAAGTATTAAGAAAGAAAGAAAAAAGATGCTTAGAGAAGAAGAAAAAAGAAGGAAAGTATTAAGAAAGAAAGAAAAAAGATGCTTAGAGAAGAAGAAAAAGAAGGAAAGTATTAAGAAAGAAAGAAAAAAGATGCTTAGAGAAGAAGAAAAAAGAAGGAAAGTATTAAGAAAGAAAGAAAAAAGAAGAGAAGAAAAAAAAAAAA